TCAGCTTTAAATCTACTCAACTTGAACTTTCTATGGAAAATTAAAATGGAAAGGAACCCATTGGATATACAGGTCTAACTCTCCAAAAAGCATTGTTGGCTGGAGATATTGATAGTTAGGTAGTCATCATTGCCATGACAATATACAGGTGGATAAATTTCACAAATGTTGTACATAAAGTGAGAAAATAATAGGGGAGAAAGTTACAGACATAAATGAAAAGTAGCTATGTGAATTTCAGATTCACATGGGCCAGCTAAAAATGTAATCTGGCTTGTAAAATTCTAATTTACTTTTCCCATTGGAGGAAGCAACTATATACCTTCCTTAGTTGATAGCTTTCCAGGGATGAAGTCAACAAATATAAACTGGGAGAACCTTCCCTGAAGAATCCACGACCTTAATAAAGTGATCAAAACACCTGAGAGGATTGATTAGGGCATTAAAGAGAATGACAATATGGAGAGAATTGTCTGTAAGACACCACAGTTTAGACAGAATAGACCATTACCTTGAAGCTCTAGTTTTATAACATGAACAAACTTTCCCTTAGTTTATATTCCCTAAACTCTTTAAATTAATACTTGATCTTAATTTGCTTTCCCAAAGAGGCTTCTGTTTGACAAACCTTATTGTTTTCCACTGAGATCCAATGATTGACTCTCTGATACCAATTGAATTCATATGGATAATTCTTCTAAGATTAATCCACCCCTGTTTAACTGAACAGATTCCACATCTGTATTTTGAGAAGAATTTGTAAACTTTGTCACTGAGGGGAGGCAGTAACTGTGGAAAATGTTTTCCCAAATATCAGTCCCCATTTGAAGTTTGCCCTTTCCCCACCAGAGTCCTTTTGATAGGGCCCAAAATATAACTGCTCAACTTTAGGTCAAATTTTCTTTTCATGGTCATCAGTATACTCACAGCATCTAATTCAGGATTAGAGCTGCTGTATTCTCCAGGGTTAAAAGCTTAACTCAAGTTCCCCAAAATTTTCACTCTTCAATCTCTAGCTCAGTTTCAATATTTACTTGGTTTCTTATTTCCATGTATCAATAGCTCATTACTTGTAAGACTTTCTCCTCTTTGTTTAAAACTCTGCTTTTTTCCTCAATGGTAGCCTTTTCCTCTTAAAAAAGACTGCCTGACTTTTTTAGTAATTAATGACATCTTCTGGAAGTCATGTTTCATTGTGGTCTTCCTCATCATTGTACAGGTACTATTTTGCCCTGACCCTGTTTTCTTATAATATGGTACCAACCATCCTTAACTCATCACAGTATGCACAAGCTAACCTTACATTATGGAAAGAGAATCATCATTCAGTAAATACTTATCAGTTCCCTATTCTATCATCTAATTTTTTAATTTTTTATTATTTTTAAAAATTTTTTTGTTCATTTATTCACATGTACATACATTGTTTGGGTCATTTCTCCACCCTGCCCCCCTCCCCCAGCCTTTATCCCCTCCACTCCTCAGTTTCAGGCAGGTCCTGTTCTGCCCTTGTGAATGATTTTGTTGAAGAAAAGACATAACCATAATAAGAAAGACAAAGCATTTTTGCTAGTTGAGTTAAGGATAGCTATATAGAGAGATTCCTACTATTGCTCTCATGTACCCATGTGTTACAACCCATGTTGATTCAACTCTAACTGATCTTTACGTTGGTTCCTGATCCCCTGCTAGTGATAACCTGTCGTTTTAAGGTTTCTGTGTTAGTTCCTCTGGAGTGGGGACATCAAACACTTTCATGTTTTGGGTTTTCTACCTATTCCTATATCTCCTGTATGTGCTCTCCCCTATTCTTGTGATCCAAGTCCAACACATTGCTGCATTTGTCCTAGATCTAAAGTCCGCATATAAGGGAGAACATATGATTTTTGGTGTTCTGAGCCTGGCTGACCTCACTCAGAATGATGTTCTCTAGTTCCATCCATTTACCTGCAAATGATAAGATTTCATTTTTCTTCATGGCTGAGTAGAATTCCATTGTGTATAAATACCACATTTTCTTAATCCATTCGTCAGTAGTGGGGCATCTTGGCTCTTTCCATAAGTTGGCTATTGTGAATAGTGCTGCAATAAACATGGGTGTGCAGGTGCCTCTGGAGTAACCTGTGTTGCATTCCTTTGGGTATATCCCCAGGAGTGGGATTGCTGGATCATATGGCAGATCTATGTTTAGATTTTTAAGAAGTCTTCAAATTTTTTTCCAGAGTGGTTGCACCAGCTTACATTCCCACCAGCAGTGGATTAGGGTTCCTTTTTTCACACATCCTCGCCAGCACTTGTTGGTGGTGGTGTTTTGGATGATGGCTATTCTAATGGGGGTGAGGTGGAATCTTAGTGTGGTTTTGATTTTCATTTCCTTTACGGCCAGAGATGGTGAGCATTTTTTCATGTGTTTTTTGGCCATTTGAATTTCTTCTTTTGAAAAAGTTCTGTTTAGTTCAGTTGTCCATTTCTTAATTGGTTCATTGATTTTAGGAGAGTTTAGTTTCTTAAGTTCCCTGTATATTCTGGCTATCAGTCCCTTGTCTGATGTATAGCTGACAAATATTTTCTCCCACTCTGTAGGTGGTCTCTTCAGTTTAGAGACCATTTCTTTTGTGGTGCAGAAGCTTTTTAATTTTATGACGTCCCATTTATTCATCCTTTCTCTTAGTTGCTGGGCTGCTAGGGTTGTATTGACGAAGTCTTTGCCTATACCTATTTGTTCCAGACTGTTTCCTGCTCCTTCTTGTAATAACTTCAGAGTTTCAGGTCTGATATTTAGATCCTTGATCCATTTTGAGTTGATACTAGTACAGGGTGATAGACATGGATCTAGTTTCAGTTTCTTGCAGATGGGTAACCACTTTTCCTAGCAACATTTGTGGAAGCGGCTGTCTTTTCTCCATTGTATATTTTTGACACCTTTGTCAAAAATGAGGTGGGTGTAGTTGTGTAGGTTCATATCTGGGTCCTCTGTTCTGTTCCACTGGTCTTCACATCTGTTTTTGTGCCAGTACGATATTGTTTTTATTGCTATTGCTTTGTAATATATTTTGAAGTCAGGTATTGTGACACAGCATTGTTCTTTTTGCTGAGTATTGCCTTGGCTATTCACGGTCTCTTGCATTTCTAAATGAACTTTAGGTTAGATTTTTCAATCTCTGTGGTGAAAGTCATTGGGATTTTGATGGGAATTGCATTAAACATGTATATTGCTTTCGGTAGTATAGCCATTTTTACTATGTTGATTCTACCGATCCATGAGCACAGGAGGTCTTTCCATCTTCTGTAGTCTTCCTCGATCTTTTTCTTCAGGATTTTGTAATTCTCCTTGTAGAGGTCATTCACATCCTTTGTTAAATTTACTCCTAGGTATTTGATTTTTTTTGAGGCTATTGTGAATGGAATTGTTTCCATGTGTTCCTTCTCAGTTTGTTCATTGTTGGTGTATAGAAAAGCTAATGATTTTTGTAGGTTGATTTTGTTTCCTGTCATCTTACTGTAGCTGTTTGTGGTGTCTAAGAATTTTTGGGTGGAGTTTTTTGGGTCTTTAAGGTATAGGATCATATCATCTGCAAATAGGGATATTTTGACAGTTTCTTTACCTATTTGTATTCCTTTTATTTCTTCTTCTTGCCTAATTGCTCTGACTAGAAATACTAGTACTATGTTGAATAGGAGTGGGGGAGTAGGCATCCTTGTTTCGTTCCTGATTTTAGGGGGAATGGTTTCAGTTTTTCACCATTAAGTATGATGTTGGCTGTAGGTTTGTCATATATAGCCTTTACAATGTTGAGGTACATTCCTTCTATTTCTAGTTTTCTTAGAGCTTTTATCATGAAGTGGTGTTGGATCTTGTCAAAGGCTTTTTCGGCATCTATTAAGATGATCAAGTGGTTTTTGTCTTTGCTTCTATTGATGTGCTGTATTACATTTATAGATTTGTGTATGTTGAGCCACCCCTGTATCCCTGGGATGAAGCCAACTTGGTCGTGGTGAGTGATCTTTCTGATGTATCATCTAATTTTAGGATATGGAAATGTGTCAGAAAAGAGAGTCTCTCTCCTCATGGGGTTTAGAATAATTTGTAAGACAAACAAGAAACAACAATAGACATAATTCATGTTTGTATTTGTAACTGGAATAAGTGCTAGGTAAGAAAAACCGAAGTGAGATTAAAAGAGATGATAATAAGGGTACAGGGCCTAGTTTGAGGAGATAGTGTCTCTAATAGCTATTAATTTCTGTTATAGTTTGGATATGAAGTGTTCTCCAAAAAGCTCTAGTGTTGAAGGTTCAGTTCATAGTTAACAGATCCAATCATTCAGAGTTGATTGGATCATGAGGGCTCTGATTTCAACAAGGGATTAATCCATTCATGGATTCATAATTTGATGGTATGATTGACATATGGTGAAAACTTCCAGAAGTAGGGCCTAGTTGAAGGAAGCAGGACACTGGAGGCATGCCCTGGAAGGATGTTTTATCTCTGTTCCTTCCTCTGTTTCTTTCTCTACTTCCTGAACACCATGATATGAACCACTTTTCTCTACCACGTGCTCCCCACCATGATGTTATGTATCACCACAGTCCAGAAACAACAGAGCCAGTATCCATGATTTGTAACTTCTGAAACCATAAGCCAAAATTTTTCCTCTTTCAAATTGTTTCACTCAGGTGTTTGACACATCAATAAAAAACTAACCCAATTTCCACAGATATATAATGGGAAATGAAATTATGAGTCATATTATCCCATTGGATATGTGGCATGAGATACAATAATGGCATTGTGGACAGCTATAATTCCATTATGAAGCTTAAAGTGACTTTTTTGACAGATTAAGAATGGGAGAGCATGTGCCTTGATGAGCATTCTTTGGATAGAGATCTCAGAGCAGAATGATAAATGGCTCTTTTAGCTACAAATCAGTATTTTGTTTTAGTTAAATCTCTTGGTTTTGTCACTGCCTTTGTGACTGTTGGGGCACATCATTTCATTTCCCAGACGTCAGATTTCTCGTCATTAAAACAGGAGACTGAAGAAGCCTGTGAGTTGAATTGGCATTTGTCATCTTGACTCTTTCAAGTAGTAGGACTGGGAAAACAAATGTGTGCTGTCCATTATGTGCTACCACCCATAGATAATGATAATTTTAGAAATAGCATAGGTCTTACCTTTTGTGAATGTTCCCCCAAGAGACATTGATGTTTTCTGTTATCATGTGTACTTTCCTGGTATCATCTGCTGAATAATCCCGGAGAAGTTTCAGTGCCAAGTCATTTGCCACATCTATGTTTATCTGCCACTGGTGTAGGTCTTTGGCCAACTGCTATAGATGTGTATGGGAAAGAGAATGAACGTCAGTTTATTTTTTTTCAGAAACTTCTAGGTGGAGTTTCTTCAAATACTTCATAAATAACTAGAGAAATCTTAGATTACAACATATCTACATGGTTATTTGTAACTTACCATGTGATTTGGTGAACCGTGATAGTAATAAGCTAAGCCATTTTTCATGACAAAACTTCAAGTGCAGTGTCTTGAGAAATGACCAGCTTCAGGTACTTCAATTCAGTAGCAATTAATGTGTAAATAAAGTGGGCTTAATTGTTTTTTTTATCACAAGAGAGAATAAACTATGAAAACAGGTTCATATGTAATTGTTGAGCATGTGACATATAAGAAAATTTGAACAGAAGAAAATTTGTGCATTTCTCCTCTCTTCATTAACTTGTTGAATTGTTTATGTAATTAGTGCCATCTACTGGCATTCAACTAAACCTGCATAAAAAAATTACTGAAAAACAAAAGGATAGTCTTTACTCTGGTTATGATATTGTTTGAAGGATAGCACTTAAAAAACCATGTTTTAATTTAAGAATAACTCAAAACACAAAAATCTTCTCCAAATCACCTATGTTTTCTTCTTTGTTTTGATACTTGAGTGTTATCAAACTAGTCATTTCATATTTCAAAGAAAGAAGTCAATCAATGCTAGATGTATACTGAAGCATATCAACCTGAAATTTCTATTAAACACTTCTGTAAATAGGAGGTTTCTAAACATTGAGATAAAATTACATTGTTAAGATAGTTATATCAAATCAAATATGGTGGGCTATGCCATTGATACATGGACAGAGAAATAAAAACAGTAATTTAAAGAAAAGAAAATGATTTTATAAAAAAGAAAAAAGTTAACTTTCAAGTAACAAAAAAGTATTAAATCAAGAAGGTACAACTTGACAACAGTCAAATTAATAAAAAAATAAAAGCTGGAAAGACTGATAAAATTCATACATTCATATACTATTTCTGGGAATAGCATCTATCAGGACAATTTGGTGATAGATTTTAAGTGACAGAGAAATTTGCATTCTTATTGACCCAGCAATCTCACTTTTGTACTTTATCCTAATAAAATATTCAGAAGATAAATATGCTATAGGAATAAATATTTTTCATTAATTAAAACAGTATAAAAACATGTAATTTCAATATTTACTGAGGGGATTTTAAAACAACATAGTACATTAACCCAATGATCCAATATATAGTACATATGCATAGTAATCCTTATAAAAAGAATACAATTTTTTGTGTAAAAAAAACTCAATTTTTATCTAAACTATATTTTTACTCTGTAAAAAGATACAGTCATGAACTAGAAGAGGAACAAAAGGAATTGAAACAGCTGATGTTTCTGAAAAGAAGAACCATTTTGTTTTAATATTTATTGTTTTGCATTAGTATGATATTTTATAATAATCAAACACTAGTACTTTTAGCATAGCTGAACGTGTTTGGCTCTTATTCCTTGCAAATATATAATCTGCATATAACCTAGCACTTCTTATTTAACAATAATATTCTATAATCAAACTAAATAATAGCATTTACTGCATATTTTAAATAGTTTAAGGTAAACAAACTATTACCAAGAATCTAGTCAAAAATTTTGCTACAAAAGCAGAAGAGAGTTTCTAATGTCACAGAGCATAATTGTTGCTACTACAAAGCAATTAAAATTTATCCTTGTGGAATACCAGTGTTTTTCTATACCAGTGTTTTTGTTTAATATGCCTTTTATCAAGCACTATAGCTCTGATTTTCTACTTTTCACATTCCCACACTAGCCAAAAGCTCTTCTTAGGTGAAACAACCTCTTCTAAGGTGAAATAACCACCCCCCCAAAAGCTTGCCTTTTCTAGAAATTTCTTAGGGTGCAAAATTATCTTCCCTTCCTTTCTTCACTTCAGCCAAATCTAAAGTTTTAAAATAATGTGTACTAAGATATAAAAGGCCAATTAGCCCTTACTATCCAGAGGATGACATTTGCCTTTTAAAAGAAGAGCTCTCACTGGGGGACTCAGTGGTTGGAGGTGGGGGGGGCAGGATAGCTGACAGCCCTGGTTTGTAATCTCAGCTAGACTTTCAGTTCTGAGGCAAAAACTTGAGATTCTAAAATAACCATGGTTCAAGTAACAGACCACCCGCCTAGCAAGTGTGAGTCCTGAGTTCAAACATCAACATTGGCAAAAAATAAAAGAAGAGCTCATTATTTATAATCTATTAATTCTCTAATTGATAAGCAAAATCATCTACCAAACTGAGACTAACAATCTGGTTTATCATTCTCCAAGGCAATTCTTTTTTCAAAAGGATTCAGTTACTAAACAAATACTTATAATGAACTAACATCAGAACATGTATGTATTGGCTTAGGAATACAGAATATAAAAATTTTAATGAATATATAATTAAAATCATTGACTTAAGTTAAACAATCTTAGAAGCCATCCTTACTCATGGACTGCTATTTGAAAAGTCTAGGTATAAGATGACACACTCTTTGAATGGTTTCACGGTTATATGTATATTTTTAATATACACAGAAATATATCCGTCAAATTTTATGCAGTACATAAATGCTGTTTTGTGTGTCAATTACATCACAATAATCCTGCTTAACTTAAAAAATATATGGGATATGTCTAAAAATTATCTACAGATCATAAAATACTGAGAGGTGTAAGTTGCAAACTATGCTTGGATTTTCCAAAGTCTCTGAAAGAAATACATCAGAGTTAAATTAGAGACTTTATAGTAAAAAGATAGTACAAGGACCAGGATTCATTTCAAACCAGTTTTTTGAGATATGCTTGAAAAGAGAAATGCACAAGCCATATATTTCTCTCTAAAATTGTATTCACAGTGAAAGTTAAAGTTGCAATACCTAACGAAATCTTGAGTGACCACTAATGATCACTGAATACTGCCTGGCTTTTGTGAGGATGCAGGATTAAAAAGGATAACTCTCACTGACCTTGATTAACATGGAGAACTAGATGGGCCTTATCTAAACACAAAGGTTCTCAACCATAGCTTCCTTTTCTCTGAAAGATATTACCAGAACTGTTTACCTTCTTCTTAAGTTATGCTAGCCACCTTGAGCTTTACCCAAGTGACATTCATACTAGGAACCATGACCTTGACCAGCTTTGCCTAGCACTGTGAAATTTACTACTGGGATGACTCCAGACCTCAGTAGGAGTGTAAATTCAAAAATACAATAGGCTTCACATGCACCCTTTTTTCTTTCTGAATTCCATTTACAATGGTGTACCCTATAGGGAATTGCTTGTGTGGTGATAATGGTGTGTGAAGAAATTTAAAATACTCTGACTATTAGCCTGTAAAAAAGATGACTTTGTGGGTGTGTGTATATATATGTATGTGTGTGTTTTCTATGAGGAATATAAAACGCTAAACTCCCCAAAGATTGTGTGTCCAACCAAGAAAGAAATATTTCATATTCAAACCTAATTTGATACTGCTGTAATATGTATTGTCTTGGGCAGAAAAAAATGATTGTGGACTATGAGACAAACTGAAATAATTTTAAGATGTTTGAATATTACATTTTTTTTGTTTCAATGTTTCTCTCATTTTTCATTTTTAGGAACTCTTTATCTGTATTAGATCTACATAGGAGAAAAGCAGGAAGAAGAGAGTAGTTAAAAGTCTGTACAATAGAACTAATCTGCTGGGTTTATATGCTGGCTTAATCAGTAGTTATGTGACAAATGGGAAAGTTATTATCTGTTCCTCAGTTTCCTCCTTTATACAATAGGAATACTAACAATACCTGTTTTGAAAGAAGATTATAAAGATTAATTTAGAAAATTCAGGGAAAACACAAAGGTGTCTGGCTTACCCAAAGAATGAAATAAATGTTAGCTATCATTATCAGTCAGTATTGCTAGAATTACTACTACTTTCTTTTTAATGAATCACACCTGTATTCAACACAGTGTGAGGCCCTACTGAATGGAAAGCAAGTGGCTGGCTGTTTTATAGACTATGTCTACAAAAACAACAACTGTAAAGATCGCCCTTTAACTTAGAAGATAAAATTATGTGCATAGACACTTAATTAAAAATTTAAAATTGAGCATTATGTAAACTTTCTTATAAAATGTGGTTTGGGATATCAACCTACATTTATTCCAGGTGAACTAGTTTTTATTTATTTATTTATTTTAACTAGAGTTTGAATTGGCCAGGTAGGCTCTCTATTGCTTGAGCCATGCTTCCAGGTTTTAAAAATTTTAATGACTGTCTCAAAGGAGCTTCATAAAAAGTTGTGAGGAGTAACAAGAAGCCACCTTCCCAGGAAGCCTTGTTTGTCCATTGTCTTGCAGGATTGATTTTACAAAAGTCATTAAATTCTTGAGCCTCAGTTTTGTCATCTGTAAAACAGGATAGGGTTACTTACTCTGCCTATGCCTTAGCCATGTCACCAGGTGTCAAAACCAAAATCAAATTGCTTGGAAAAATGTAAAATAGGATCCTAATACACTTACAGATAAAAAGTTCTAAGTATTAGATTTCTGTTGTTTTGTCTTGGATACTGTGTTTGCATTTTTCAACTAAGGGATTCATGAGAAAAATTAGCTCCCTGAGCTAACAACTAACAGCTTACTAAATCTTAGATGCATTTTCTGCCCTTACTCTACTTAGTATGGTAGATGGACTAAACCATGAAAGAGGTAAGAATTTTCCAGGATCTCTTGCTAGCTGGCTTCTTGCTGGATCAGGCCAACAATAAGCAGGGAAAAGGATGAAACTTAATAATCTCTCCCTTTCTCTCTCTATTTTGTCAGCATCTCTTCTGTGTCTCCATTTCCCACTGTTCAATCTCTGCCTTGATAGTACTTCCAGTACCTGCTGTGCAGCCTCCACAGTGGAGTTAGCACCAGATCACTTTGGTTTCTGGGCTTTGTTAACACTTGGCTCTCCAGCCCTTGAAGTGACAAAGTTCACTGA